AAACTAAAGGTAAATCTAGAATGACACAATATACAATACACACATATACAATTTTCTCAAAAATCTGCGGTCAAACTTCTTTTTTATTAAAGAAAACCTCCAAAAAAAGGGAAAATTACACTTTGACCGTAGTCAATATCTAGGATGTTAATGTGACTTGTGAGAATGAACAGTCAACGGGTAAATCATAAAAATACTGTAATCATATTTTTGGTCTGCCTATTGGTAATAACGGCAACGAATTATTAGAAAGACAGGCGATCAACCCTAATCGTATACATTATACAACCTTAAACTAAAAAAACAAATTTAAATAAATTATGGCTTTTACAATGATTTTTATCGATTTTAAATACTTACACGGTATACCATCTACAGATTCTCATCGAAACGTTTATTTTAATGATTTAAAAAAAAATTACAAGTAAAATATGTTTGTTTAAAAAATCACCAATAAGTTAAAAACTTTTTTTACCTAAAAAAACTTTCTAACCAGTCGGAGCACTGAATAAGATACAATATTTATATTATAAAATATAATTGTAGGAACCTTCAGTGGCATACATTCAACTTTCTAATAGGGGAGGGGGGAATTTAGGGATTTTAATGACACATTAATGTATTGAACATGACTTGTTTATACTTCATTATGCCTATTGGCTATTTTAATATTGTTTTTTTTTTTTGGTTCTGGAGGGGGATTTATCCCAACCCTCTCCTCCCATATATACGCCTCTGGGTACCTTAACGTATTATTTTACAGAAAATAAACAATAGATAAATAAGGGTTGGTAGCTGTTTTTATCTGATTCCTATGTATTGGTATTTTGATTAAGTAAATCGGTGGTAGCGGCATTTTTTACACTAAATTTAGTAGGATACCTCTGTTTTATTTTAGTTGTGCGCCGTCGTTTATCTGATGTAAGAAGTATACTGCAATGTGTCTGCCATCATATTATGTATAGGAATTAGGACATAGGTACATTATATTATATATATATTATATACACACTATATACTTACTTTCTCGGGTTTCGGTCGTCTGGATTTTTTGTTTACTCTTTGAAAACATGACCCACGAAGCCACCAGATCGACCTTTCAACAGGTGTTGGGTGTGTTTAAATCAACTCAAATTCGGTCTAGACTCGACGGTGCGGGAACGACTGGAGATCGACAAAAAAAATATTCAACAGAACCTAAGCCCACATAGAAAACCACCCAAACACGATAAATTCGTGTACAGCCAACAACTGTCGTCCAGCAATCATTATGTTGTTGGACACAATAGAGATGAGTAAATGTGTTGTGAGGTGGTACCTACAACATCTGTCCTAAATTGCATTGGTAAGGCATAACCGTGCTTTTAAATTTTAATAATACCTTTGCACGAGTCATGTACAAGTCGTACCTAGCTGCTAACGTCCCGTTTTGTTGTTACATTATATTATTATTTCAGAGTTTAACTGTGTAAGCTATTAAAAATAGTCAAAATATCTACCTATATTGTCACATGTATGTGGTAATATGGTATAATTGTATTCAGTGTGGAGTAAAATTTAAATCGAAAAAATAAAAAATAATTGTTCGACGATTAAATTATTTTTTACTCTCAAAACAAAATTATTTATAACTATAAATAACAGATAATTATAATAATAGATTTTTGTAATTTATAAATAATTATACAAAACATAATATTATCTTGGTTAATTAAAAATAATAATTTTGTAAGAAACAATAAATAAAAAATGTACTTAAATTACCTTTTTTATTTCAAATAATAAATTGTATTTAATACAATTAATAAAATTGTAAATTTTTTATCATTTTTTTTTCTTAAATAAAAAAAAACTTGTAATTATTACTTTTAAAATGTATTTAAAATCACTTCTTTAGTTAATAAAATAAATAACTAAGTTCTGAAGGTTAAGCGATTTTGGGTTCAATTTCGACTCAGCTTTGTGTTTGCACGAACCTTGCATAATACCAGACATAATACTTTGAAAAAATGATGAGGGCGCATCGATTTTCGAATACACCAAATTTCTATTACGTTATGGTTTTTTTAATACTAATCACAATTTTAAATTCGATTTTTTTAATGTAAAATGTTTTCTTTTTTCACGAGAAAATGTTAATCATAAAATGGGTGAGAAATGAGAATATATGCCGTACACGGTACGTTGACGGAAGTGTCTATTGTTGCAAAAACGGATGTACCTAACTATTTTTAGAAATGTGTTCAAAAAAAATGCCATGATAAATATAACAATTTGTACCCTTAAATACATTATAAAAAATCTCTCTTAGAATAAATATTGCGTACACTTTACCCCTTGTACCGGTAATACCGGCATCCATTAGCCTTAAATAAAAAATAATTTTTTGGTCAGCGGCTTGTCAGATAGATTCGAAAAATGCCTCACTCATTTGTGTCGTTTGACGATTTTTGGACTGCACACCAACTAAATTAATTTTCACCGGCCTCAATTCAATACCACTGATCATACACGATTGAAAAATAATTAATAATTTTTATCGATTACGAATGAAAATGATACAAAATGATTATTGACACTTATTACATAAATTATAGATTTTAATTTTTGTTGTATAGTAATGCGTTCAGTGCGTATACTGGCACATAAACATCAATGTGTTGTATGTGTTGCCACACACAGGGCCGGTGCTAAGAAATATGCAAGGGGGGGTGTCAAAATGAAGATGCCGACTAAAATATTTGAGTACTTTCGTAAATATTTTATAACATTTTACAACACAAGTCACAATTTTTTGCTAAAATTAATGGGAATTAATAATTGTTGAAAATTATTTTTTTTTTAACTTTGAATTATTATATTTTTAAGTATGAATAATACAAACAAATTTAGATTATAAAAAAACCATCAAAAGTTAAATTTTAATATGCCGTTTTTTTTTAATGCGGGTTATTTTCTTGTTATTTCTTCCAAATCAATTATATCGAGAATATCTCTGGTGGAGTTTAAAATCGCGGGAGTCATTTTTTATTATTTTTGAAAGAATAAGAAGAAGAAAAATGATAATGATGTGATATTGTGACTTGATTTTTTTGATTTTTAAAATGTTTTTGGAGCATAGAAATATTTTAGGCAGCTAACAAATTTATTTATTACTACATTTTCAGTTCTCAGTCACCAATACTAAAACAATTTGAGCCCTACTTTAAAAGCATTATTTTAAAAATGTTTGAATTTATTTAACATAATTATAACGTATTGCAGTTGAAACTGCAATTTAACAGAGATATAATCCAAATAGCCTTATTTTAAATAATTTTATAAAAAATAATGAAATTGTATTCAAAATTATTATTAAAACCGTTGAAATAAAAACAAAAGTGTATTTTTTTATAAATTATTATCTAAAAACAATTTTTTTTTTATTTTAGTTAGGTACACTATTTAAAAATAATGGTCATGTCTGCTCCCTGCTCGCTATATATATAGTATAGTAGGTAATATCCCACCGCAACGATAGTAATAAAGAAGAAACAAGACATAGTGAAGTAGTACCAAGGAACTCTCATAGGCCTTACAAATCTGGCCTAATGATTTATTCTAAATACGTATCCATCTCATAACTTTTGTTCAAAATTTACTCGGCCAGGCTCAAAAGGATTGTTAGCAGCTCCTTGGTGTTTCATATTCATTCTCTAACCATATATATATATATATATATATTAGATTACACACATTTATAACCAATACTTATTATTTTACACGCGCACACAGGACAAGCAAAAATAAACCCGCTAACTCTTTGCCTGCAGACTTAATACTATGGGTTATGTGATATGTCTAAAACAGAAGAGCAGGTTTTTTTTTTTATAGTAAGGAATCTTTTGGAATTTTAAAACTAAAATAAAAATATATACTTACAGAGGGATAGAATGTTTGTTTACAATAGACCAATAGGTCCCATGATCGAACATCGTTTGATATAATAATATACACCACAGTTATTATAAACAAATAATAATACTTCTGCTAAAATCGGGAATAACCGATAATGCATTGTTTTTTTTTTACTAAAAACTAAAATTATATTTTCGTATGGTCGTCCGTATGCCGACTATTCACTATTCGTCGCTAGATTCCAATAAAAATTATGTACCTACCTACTTTTATAAAATAAAAATAATAAATATGTTATTAGTATAATTTTACGGGGGTTATAATATTTACCGACTTTTTGTTCCGAATGTGCCGACTAGGTATACTTGAGTTTTCCGAGTGGGGGGGTGTCAAACCCCCCCACACCCCTCTTTAAGTCCGGCCCTGGCCACACACACTAATATTATAATATTTGATAGGTTGGTAAAATAAAATTGAGGTCTTATTATTATATAAAATTTATTTTAAAGTTGGCTTCTGAGTTAACATATCGAGACGCCATTTAAGTGGTGTGTGCACACATACTGTGGAGGTACACCTACTTTATAGAACATCAACTTTCTCTCAACTATTGTACGTGTGTGGCGTTTTTGAACAAGAAAAATCGATTATTTAATATATATATTTGTACTTGTCCGAGTTGTCTACAAGCTAAGTATAAGAAATTATTTTGCATTTTATGTTACACTTACTGTTACTTATTAATTTTTTTTTAAAGCTATCAATGATCGAACGAACGGACTAGTAATAATGGAAATGTAATTATATAACATTATTATGCTGTACAATTTTAATGGGCATAGATTTGTAAATCAGCCAAATGGTAATTTTATAATAAATAATTGACGAGATTGTACCTATAAAATATTAAAATTTATAGGTGCAAAATAAATAGAAATGTTTGGAACATTATTTTTTTATTATAAAATTTGATGTTGTATTTAGTACAAAAAGAAACTATATCACCCAAAATTCTTTGGGTTTGTAAGCTATTGCATACATTTGTAATCATCTACGTAATACAATATATAAGCAAAATAGTTGAATAATAAAACAAACAAAAAAATATGGTGAAGTATTTACTTTGTTTTTAAAACAAAACAATAGTACACAATTTATGAGCAAAAATATTGTACACATATTATTAAAAATTTCAAAAACGTTTGGTGATTTATCAATAATAGAAAAGGAGTAATTTATTACCAGATATACTTATTAAAAATGTTATTAAGTTTTTTCTTTATTAAAAATGATTTATACTCAGTTGTAGTAACATTTTCTGACCGGAGAACAGATTAGATTAAAAAATAAAAACTAATTCAGATATATATAATCCCAATTAGTCTATATGAAACATTTAAAACGATAACTTATTTCTATTGGGACTGGTTGTGATTTTGTGGAATTACTACAATGCAATAGACAATCATGTGATAATTTATAAAATACAGTCATGATTAAAAATAGCCTACAATATATCTAAATAATATTATGTAGACATTCTAGTATGTGTATTATTAATTATTATTCTTAATAAACACTGACGAGCACAATAAGGGATACAATATTTCAAGTCTTTCAAAGTTTATATTATTATTTCATTAAATTTATCACCATAAAGAAGCTCACAGTTTTCATATTCAAAATACTAAATTATATAGTGAAAATCTATATAAGTTATACATAGTAATAGTATATTTTACTAAAATTACTAACATACAATATTATAGGTATGGTCTTAACTATGCTATATATACATAACCTACCTACTACAAGTATTATAAATGTATATAGTAGTTGTATACAAATTAAAATCATATTTTTATATCTATATCACGAATTGAAAAAAAAATAGTAATAATAACATAATGAAATTAAAATGGCACCAGATTCTTCAAATTTAATTAACATTGCAAGTTTTCTCTTTATTTCATGTTTGTTTAATAGTCTACACAAAAAAAACAGATACTAGTTTGTTATAAATTGTGTTTTGTAAAATAATCAAATCAAAATTACAGCACTAGCTGGGTCAAATTTTATCTTGTATTGCTGTATATAATTAAATAAAAATTAACTTAAATTTCTAAGAGGAATGAAAATTTATTATTTAAGTAATTTATAAAAAACATACAAGATTACTTTGTCCACTTTCATAGAAAAAAATCATACAAATAAATAATAATAGATTGAAAATTTGATAGGTTGGTGGATTGTCTCGAAAAGCAATTGGAGGATCAGTAGACATAAATCTGTTTGAGCTGATCCCGTAATTCAGCAGGTATTTTATAGGCATCTTGTTGCTGTTGCTTTTTATGCACCAGCCTTCGCCATTTGCCTCGCAAGTTTTTGCGTATTCCTTTTCGGTGATCACCGTTTTCTTCGATGGGTATAGTGCACATTGTGTCCTAAATCAAAATAATCAATAAGTAAAATTAATAATTTAATTTTAAATGTAGAAATGTAGTAATAGGTACGATTATTAGTAATAGTATAAAACACTTTCTACTGTATTTTGAAATTCATTGTTCCCTTGAAATAATTTCCAAAACTATTGTGGGTCACCTGTGTATATTTTTAGTGTCTGTTATATTCTTACAAAACCACAACCAGTAGTTTGCAACAAACCATGTTTAACCTTCTACACACTATCCTTGCCTTGATGATACATTTTCTCCCACTTCCACACAGATAGGGAACATTTCTCGTTGTAGTAGAATACATTAATTATTGTTATTACTTTTTTATTATTTCTTGATCCTTGGTTGACATTTTAATAATATACACTCAATTTGATTAATTAATTTAATAATTGTTTAAAAGACAATATTATATTGTATTTTAATAAGATTGGTTACTGTAATGTACATTAAGTAAAGTAGATGTTTGTTTTTTTATGATAAACCTGATCTCACCTGATCAAAGTTGTACATCCTGTGAGGTGAATTGTACCCATTTGTACTCCTGGCTGCAGCGTTTTTGGCCGAGTATTGCCACAGGAAAGGCAAGGGTACAGGAGTCTCGCCCACTTCGCACGATACATTGGTAACAATTGTGGCCTCTAATGGCTGGGCATGTGGCAACTGGCAATCGACAACATTATTGTTGTTATTGTTGTTGACTACTGTAGGGGTGGTGGTGGTGGCTGAAGCAGCTGCTGTGGCAGCCGCTGCAGCAGTTTCCTCACGTTTCCTGAGCTTGCTGCGAACCAAACGAACGGTTAAGAATTTTGAACCGTTACTACCCACCATTTTCAAGCTATCCCTAAGCGTTCCTATACAATTAAAGCGCGCTTTGGTCTGCTCGATGGGTACACTAGCTGGCGTTTTTGGGTATGTGACGACACCTCCGAATGTAACCGTTTTAGCGGCACACATTTTTAAAATTGATATTACACTTAACAATCTGCCAAGTTACTCGACGTAAGCGCAATCCAACTTACTGTCGATATGTATCGATTGCCAAAATAATGATAGTGTAAATGTTTTTATTTCTTCTCAATTCTTTTAACGATTTAATATACATATAAATTTATAAATATTTATGTATTAATTTACCGCGCGAATATTTATATACTATGTTATATACATATATATGTATATATTTCTTGTATTTTATACGTTATTATATTTAAACGACTAGTTTCACTATCACAGCCTCGTGTTTAGCGCACGAATATACCGAACCCGCGGAATATTCGGCGTTACGTTATCTTAGAGGAAAATTTATAAAAAAAAAAAAAATAATAATATTATTTAAGTATATAACTAAAAAGTAATAATTAAATGTCAGTTAAGAAACAACGCGAACAAATTGTTGGTGCGTTTTTTGACGAGTTATTAACTGAACGGTTGGTGCATGGATTTCATCATTTTCCTGGACGTCCAAAGCGGCGGCCGCTGTAATAGGTATAAGTCGTATGCCGTGGACGACAACGACGACGGTAATTCGCGGCAACCGACGCACATTCGAAACAACAGTGTTCAACGAGACGGACAACTGGTGTTTGCGATTACGCTCGTGATACGCGTGTCGTCTCTAGCACACGATCACGATCACTGCGACGGCGGCGGCGGCGGCGGCGATACTCTCTATATGCCAGCGACGATTAGAAAACAGACTGGCGCGGGCGGCTCCGCATTAGCGACTGTACAGTGTACTGTGTACGCACGGGCTACGGCAATCGGCATATTACGTTGGCGGCTGGTGGTGCGAGCGAGAAGGAAGATTGGATGCCGCCGTTACTGCTATCGGTGCGGACTGCGGTGGGAGCGCCACTCCGAAGTCGTTGTCGCCACGTTGCCATGTTGGCCGGCGGACGGAACGACGCGACGTCGCTTCACCACGGTTACGCTATACACGTTTAAACCGCCAAAGGGTTAGGCCGGTACATAATACATTTACATTACCGACGCACCCCGTAGCCGTTATTTTGCAAATATTGCTCAATATTACTTACATAGTATCATATGCTGTAAGCAGCGGCAGTGGCGCCTAGGCCCTAGGATAGTGTATGCTCTAGTATGGATGATCAATTATGTGAACAATTTGCAACAATACACAATTTCAGAAAACATGATGATAGACTAGTGCCTCCAGATAGTGGTGTATTTAATGAGTAGAAAAAAAAAATAAACTCAACAAATGTTTGCATTTTAGCGTACAAGTTTTTGTGCATAGGTACCTAAAAAGAATTATTAACTGGATCGACTTTATTTCAAAGAAATCGGGTTATTGCCAATTCTGCATATTTTGGGCTTTTTTTTTAGAGGAAAGGCCGACTAAATCTATTTTTTTAAACATTCAGTATATTATCAATTGATTTGGGAGTGAATGGAGTATATCGTAAAAATCATCTAAACGGATCTTACAAGTTAACAAAAGCGACCGTCAAATCTACATTTTCATCTTTTTCGGTTGTATTGCTGTAAAATTATTTTTAGAACTAAATGGTTGTTTCGAACACAACTATATAGTACTGGTGACAACAATTATTGATATTACGATAAAATATATTATAATCTTATCGACCGTTGACTAATGCGACGATTATTGACACGTTTTTGTATAAACGAATAACCCATAGGGGTGTAGCTATATAGGCTGTGAAATGAGTACTAAAAACGTTGAGTAACAACGTCCACTTATAGAATTTTTAAAGTGCTCTTATTCCCAAAGTATCCAAGCAGTTATATTCACCAAATTCACTGTATATCCGTTGTCACTTCACACAATTCACGTACCACAGATGTAAATATCGTTTCTATGCATCTATATGCATCGGTAAATGGATATGGAAACCGCAATAAATGTGATTTTATATTCTTGACCTAACACACATCCAAGACAACTAAAGAAGGTATCAGGAACGTCTCTTCGTGTTTATTGTCAAATAATCTAATAGAAATAATAACGGTTGGCCTGTAAGTCAGTAACCCTGCTTATCCGTCGCATGCTAATGGAAACATTTTGAGTAAAACAGTGGTTCGTAAGTTCTCTATTAAACACCAATCGCAAGAGTACATTCTGTGCAAAAAAAAATATATACCGCTATTCATAAACGTGAGCAGAATTATACGACTTTCTCGGAATTAGAATGTAATCCAGTCAAACGACCTATTAAGTGCTCTCGAAATTAACTCTATTCTCGTTTCAGAGAACGGTGATAAAACATTAAAATTCATGCTCTATCTGGCACCGCAGATTCACACAGATCGTAATGTCACCCGGTCTCAACGAATTCATTTAATTATTGTAAATAACAGTAGTTACGCTGACCGCCATAAAAAACCGTAGTTAATTATTTTAAAAACTGGTTACTGTGATTTTAGTAATCCATTTTCGCTGGTAAAGAACTACTGAGCCGCTATATTTATTTGTACCAAAATAAATTCTTTTGAGTTCCAGAATACTAATATCTATTTAAGTTATGACCGATCGTGGAGCTGGATCAGTACTTGCGCAGAGTTTAATTGTAAGGTTTCGATTTCTATACTTTTGGCGATGTGTGGCGTACTTAAAGCCGTCATGTATAGAAGTGGCAGGTACGGAGTGTATTTTTACTCAGCTGTTTTTTAAGTGTATATTGCCCCGAACTGGACTCCAAAATTTGAAAACGAATTCTAGTGAGCAGACATGAACCAAAACGTAAATATGTAGGTACTGAGGCATTTGAAATAATCGGTTTGTTTAAAATATATTCGATTTATCATCTTGAAAAAAAAAATCAAAACCGACACTTTCTATTCGTATAATAACCGCTTGTAATCATACTGGCATAATAACACAATTATAATAACAAATAGGCATTGGAAATTGAAATTATAAACTAGTTTTTGTAAAAATAACTTTTTTGTTTTTATAAATAACAAAGTGCCAGTTTTTAACGAGAGCGTCCTATTATTTTGATACATATATAAATTATTTTTAAATAAGTTCATCTTTACAAAAATAGCCGACTAGCCGCGCCGAAATAAAACTAGTAGGACTAGGCGTTATCTATTTACTCGACCTCGTTAAACAAGGATTGTTTTTGGCGACGATTCATTTACATGTTTCTATTTAAATGGTATTGAAAAAAATAGACCATTCTAAACCCGTAAAGAATCGAAATGACCAATAAAAACAGTATCGCAAATTCAATAAATACACTTATTAAATTAGTCAACCCTGTTTCATCCTAACTCGGAGGACACAATTACTATAGCAAATTTCGTAGGAGTACATTCATAATTTCTAAACGCTAGGAGGCAAATCGGAATACAAATTTGCATTTCCATAGACTTGCAGTGTATGAGGTCTGTGACAATTTTAATATCAGTTTAAGATTGTAAAAATATACTTGCTCAGTACAAGTTAAAGTTGAAAAATTCCTTGGTGATATAATGGGAAGTTTAATGATGTTCTGATAATTAATTCGTTTAATGCGTATTTCTCATCCTGAACGGTCTTGGCTGAGACAGTCATAGGCTAAATATTCATCGTCACACGACATTGAACATTGGTTAAGACTAAAGAGTAAAAGAGTCGATAGTAAAACAGCCGTATGAGTATTATGCAGTGCAGGTATAGGTAAAATGGGTTTGTTATTATCAGTAACTGCGTTGTATAACGACTAATAATGGGGTAATTACACGTTCAATCGTTCTGACCAATAATATTACGTAGTAATGGTATAATATTGTTATTAACAAAGTGCAATATTATTATGCGGAACGCGAGATTGTTTTTAGTATTTACGGATAAACTCTCACAGGGCACAGAGATACGGTACTCGCGGTTTTCTTTGACCTCTATCGTTCTGGGGAGTCGGCTTAAAGTATATTTTTTTATACTATAAAAAAAAATTTAGCGGCCGACACGAGTAGCCGATAATGATGATAATAATAATAATTCATTTATTATTCATAATAAAGCGTGAAAAAAATAATGTGTTCCGTTTAAAGTTAGCTGAACGCGTTTCAACAAACAATGGACTTACGTGGATGTTTCATAATGATATATGATACAAAATAATAATTATTAACGTTTTTTTACCTTAACAAAACCTTCTTTCAACGAGAAAATAAAAAAATACTGAATTATTTCGTACGATGTACAATCCATGAACAAATGGTAGTAACGGATCGTAAAACGGCTATACACGATATTAAATTGGCGCCGAGAAAGTGCGCCAGCACGCAGACATGTACAACAAGCACACACGCAAAGTGTAATTAATACACTTCTTATTAAAATAAAAAATTATAACAATAATGTTATTATGCTAGCAGAACTCGACGGTTAAAAAAAACGTCGACCGGTTTTAACATAGGTACACCGTCGGCCATTAATTTAGAGTATCCGACGTTGGCGCCAGTAAATATACCTATACTCTCATTTACTGTAATATTGGGAGGAAGAAAGGAAAAAGGCAAATTTTTAGTTTTACTAGGAAACGTCCGATTGTTTTTTATTCTGTCGTCTACTAGAAATTGGATTACGAAATTAGCTATTAAAATACAAATAGGTAAGTTCTCTTTATAACAATCCTCTAATAAGGGCGTTTATTTAACCATATTTTAAGCCGAACAAATTCAAACAATAAAGCAGAGAACCTGGAAAACTATATTCATTTTATCATTAGGTGCCGACTGGTACTATTAAGTAGTAACTAGTAATTGGTTATTGTTATGAAACTTTTTGATTGCACAAATATAATC